CTGTCACCTTTTCGTGAATCTTTTTGTACCAAAAGAGAACTGGTTCTTTGCACTTGTTAAAAAAAATATAATATAATAAATCTGCAGTAGTGACTTGCAGGCAATAAAGTTAATGGTTAAAAGGATTTTTACCTAAACTGCTAATAAAATGATAAATTACTTCTGAAGTTACACTTAGAGTTTTAATAATTCTTAAAATAGAGACAAGTGAGTTAGGTAGAGACTTAGCTTTAGTGATACATCTTTAATGTAAAATATATATATGTTTAATAAAGCACATATACCTAGCCTGACAGAAGGTAAAAAAAAATAAAAAATAAAATAAAAATATAATAAATAATCATTTATTTATAATAAAAAACATAATAAATTATAAGTGATAGTTGAAATAATCAGAGAATATCTTAAATTTTAAAGAAAACAAAACATTATTTTTCAAGTTACTGTATACTGTATTCAGAAAAAAATTAATTTAATAATAGATAAATTAATTAATAATTATACGTTATATTCACAAAACACTTGATTGTAAATAATCAAATTAACCAAACAATTTGTAATACGTAATACAAAATCATCAGCATTTATAAATAAAGCAACATCTAAAACATTCAAATAAATTTGGAATGTTCACAGGAATAGTAGAGCATACTGGTGTGATAACTGAAATTCAACAACTGGATAATTCAGAGAGCGGCGGAGGTGGCTGGTCAATGAAGATTGGTTCGGCAGAGCCTGTGCTCGTTGATTGTAGGGTTGGTGATAGTATTAGTGTTAATGGTTTGTATTAAGAGTTTAAAACGGTCCATTCTGAAATTCATTCTGTTCATTATATGCTAATTGTTAATGATCATTAACTAGGGACTTGTTTGACCGTGACCGAATTTGATACTTCATGGTTCAAGGTCGGACTTGCTCCCGAGACACTGAGAAGAACCAATCTTGGTAAATTCAGGAGATTTGTGGATAGGAAAAGAAACAACTTCAATTCTCTTCGCTAATCACAATTCAAAATAGGTGATTTGAAAGTTGGCATGAAAGTAAATTTAGAAAGGGCAATTGCGGCCAACGTAAGATTTGGTGGACATTTTGTGCAAGTAAGTTATTGATGTTACAAGGTTTTTAATTCGTTCCAAAGTATTCACTTTCCAATTACAACATCACCGTCAGGGACACGTTGACACAACTGCAACGATCTTATCAATTACTCCCGAGGGAAATTCCCTTTGGTTCAGATTATCATTGGCTGATCCATCTTACCTACGCTACATCATCCCAAAAGGTTACATTTGTTTGGATGGTACCTCTTTGACGGTGTGCGAGGTAAACGATGAAGAACGTTGGTTTAGCATCATGTTGATCGCTTACACTCAGGATCATGTTATCTTGCCTTCTAAGCAAGTTGGGGACAAGATAAACGTTGAGGTTGACATGTTGGGTAAATATGTTGAGAGAATTGTAGAACCAATGCTTTTGGGTGATCAACTACACGGCGGCGGCTACATTGAGAAATTAGTAAAGAAATTTTTGGAGAATAAATGAACCCCCCTTACCTTAAAATCAACCACGCATTTAATGCGTGATGGAATACAACAAGGTCTATAATAAGTTATAAATCTTCACCATTGCTGAAACTACAAATCACATCCCACCAACAACTCATTAAATAAAACTTTTTTTTTTTTCATTAGGGAAAATAACCAAAAAAAAAATAAAAATAAAGACAATAATAATATAGATGACACTTTCGAAAATACATGATTACGGCGAATACCTAGTTAAATTTATACGACGCGTTTGACTTCAAAGAACCGTTTCAAATAGAATACTTGCCATAAGCATACGGCAACGAGAACAAAGAATTGGAAAATTGACCACCACTTGACGCGATCATTCGTACTTTCGGCGGCTGACGTGAACACAAATCAGTAAATACTAATTAAAAGCAATGAGGTCTAGAATACGGCGAACATAATACATACTGTTCCTGTGTGTACGTTCTCGCATCACAATATATTCTTGTTCGTCTTTAATAGCGGCAAGACCGTCGGCAAGTTCGCGGATTTCTCTTTCCAAAGGATCGATGTGTGCTAATTTCCATGTACAAATATTGGAAGTTCCTTTAATTCCCTCGCTCAACGAAGAAAGATTAATTTATACGGTCTCATATAATAGAAACATACATTCATCTTCAAAAATGTAAATAACCCCGTGAACGTTGAAGCTGACAGTTTTTTCGGTGACCGTGGACATTTCATTGCTAAAACAATAGGTGTGTCTTCCGTCTAACTCGGCGGTAAAACTGTACGTTCCAGTGGTTTGTTTTTGAGAAGCTTCCATAAGACGATCCGAGGGATCATATACCTGTGATGGTTGTCGAAAAATAGATTTATATTCTCGAAATACTTATGGAAAAGTGTATAATACTATAAATCATCTTTGCTCGACTTTTCTACAGCCTTCAATATGCCCTCGCCATAAAATTCTCTACAATCGACTTGACGAAAATTATTTTTACTACTTACAAAGAAATCTATATCCAAGTGTCCACCACCATCAACCTGATAGGTTATGGTTATTTTGTCATCTTTGTGTAATTCTTCAAAGTAACAGTCCTTTGAGTCAGGTGGAATTGTAATTGTATGTGCTGCTGACAGGCATATCAGTGATAGTAAAACGAAAGTAAATGTTATGAAGGATGGCATTTTTTTTTTTTTTTTTTTTTTTTTTTGTATATACTCTATCCAGTTGAATGAGAGAGTAATAAAGAATCTGCGTCAAAATTTAAATAGCACGTGAAATCGTGAAACATTGATCTAAAAAATTTTTTTTTTTTTTTTTTTCATGCATATAAAAAACCCACGACTTCAAAGTAGGTAACATCCTTCTTTATCAATATGAGCACTTTTGAAAAGGTATAATTGACATAAGTCAGAATAAATTTTTATTCCATGCTTCACGGATCTCTAGGTTGATCAAAGAACTTAAATGTTTATTATTTGCGGTATTATAATTAAATAAGGTGGTTATAATTGACGCCAAAGGTCACCTTCTTGGACGTCTGGCATCCATCGTGGCCAAGCAAATCTTATCTGGTCAGAGGATCGTCGTCGTCCGTGCAGAGGCGCTAAATGTATCCGGATCTTTCTTTAGGAATAAGAGTGCGCACAAATTTCTATATATTTTTTTTTTTTGATTTTTTTTTTACTTCAATTTCACTTACAACCATTTTTTCCAAATCGAAATTACAATTTCGGTTAGTCAAGTATCACGATTACCTCCGCAAGCGAATGGTCGTAAATCCGGCGCGTGGTCCCTTCCATTTCCGTGCTCCTTCTAAAATTTTTTACAAGGCCGTGCGTGGTATGGTTCCACATAAAACACCTCGTGGCGCTGCCGCCTTAGGCCGTCTCAAGATCTTTGAGGGAATACCACCCCCATACGATAAAAAAAAACGTATGGTCGTACCTAATGCCCTCAGAGTCTTGCGATTGAAACCTGGTCGCAAATACACGACCATTTCCCGTCTTTCCAGAGAAGTCGGTTGGAAGTATGAAGAGGTGGTCAAGAGATTGGAGGAAAAACGCAAAGCCAAAAGTCAAGCGTTCTACGAGCGTAAGAAGGAATTAGAAAAAGTTCGAATTCGGGCTCTCAAAAATAAGGAAGGTGAATTGAAAAATATTCAACAAACCATATCCACATTTGGTTATTAATAAAGCGTACCTCGGGGGAAGTGAATCCGGATCAACTGAAGGGCCACTTATTGCATTTTTGATGAACGTTTGTCTATACGTGGAATTGCAAGTGATGCTAAAAGAATCTCTTCGGTCTGAACTTAATCAAGTGATCCCGCGAACAAATTTAATGCTTTGATAGTTCTTTAATGGTAGCATAATAAAATAATCAATAACACACTAACTGATGATGCTTTGCACATGACCTTTGAAGATTCAAATTCTTTAGGACTATTAAGAAAAAAATTTTTAATAATAATTACTGGATCTATAACATTATACAACCATTTAAATGATGTTTTATCGTGGCTATCTAGGCCTTTTCAGGTCATTCTTTGTTAAAAGAGTACGTATTCAATGCGTAATCATTATTTAAAGGAATCAGGTTATTGTGTCGTCATCATTACCTCTATACATATAAATGCTAGGTGTGTATATTCCAACACTCCCGAATAAATAATATAATAATACCGCGACCACCAAATTCAGATGTCACACGTTCATAGTGTTTAGTGTTCAATAGTGTACAAATACGCCAATGACAAGTTCGGGTTAAGATAAAGTTTCTTTTTTTTTTTTTTTTTTTTCGAAAAACCCCCCCTTGTGTTGCTTAGAGTCACATTTCCAATAAGTTCGACGCGTTGGTAATATTAACAAACTATGTTACTTTGTGAATCTCATCTCTATCAAGGTTCCTATAATATCTAGCTCACCAAATTCCAGTGATACAATTTAACAAAGACTTTATCAATTAGTTTCAGGAATAATTTTTATGCCTCTTTATAATTAATCGCAGCCTTTAACTCGGTCATTTAATACATTCAAGTTTACCACCCTATATCACTTCTCATGTCCAACAACAACAATAAAGTCTTGTCAAAGTCTTCTAGCCGGAAGCTTTCCTTTCGAAGTAAAGAGTCAGTGAATATTAGTGATTCTACGAATACAAACAGTGGTTCCCTCAGCGGTAGCTTTAATTCCGTTCGAGGAAGCATCCGGCGAATTCGTCGCGTCTCAGGTGCTACGACCTCCTCAAATCCGAATTCCAACTATCCCGCTCAGCAAGAGGTGGTACCCGCTGTTAACATGCAACCCTCTGCTTTTCCCTTCTCTCGTATCCAGTCCACCATAGCCGGTATTGCTCGGGAACAAACCTCTCGTTTAAAGGAAATAAGCATAAGCCAGAAAACGGCAGATTTAACGGCAGTTGTACAGGAGATGAGCACTGAGCTGGGAAAGAAAGGTGCGGAATTGGGTAATATGGCCATGGATCGATGGAAAAAAAGAAAAGAAGGTGTGTTATGATCATGAGGCAAATATGTTTGTGGGGTAAAATTCTGAAGGACCGCAAGGTGAATGAACGAATGATCTGGTGGATCAAGGAAATTTTTACGTGCCATATTCGAATAATGAAATATCAAAAACCTTAATTCGTTTTTTTGTTTTTTTTTTTGTTTTTCCAGACAATCCACCCAACGGCCATCTCTCACACAGTGAGAATTCTAAGAATGCGGTCGACATCAACATTCTTGGGGCACCCCTGAGGACAGCTGTCATCTTAACTCGTGTCGAGAAGGACGTAAAGCAAATTCGCAAGGATCCATTCAGGTACTGGCTACCCGCGATCGTGGTGAGATGCATGGAATTTTTGGACAAGTATGGTAGGATTTCATTAGCTTACTCTTCCCGCCTCTTGTCCCGCGTGCGACCAAACACTTAATTTATTTATGCTAAATTTGCTTACAGGTTTGGAGGAGGTCGGCATCTATAGGTATACAATTTTATTTTTATTTTTTTTTTTATGTTTGGTTTTTTTTTTCCTTCTCGAATGTGTAAATAAAGGTATACTCTCTATTTTCGTTATAATCAGGATACCGGGAAGCAGAACAACAGTGATTCGTATACGGGATATCTTCAATGCTGGTGCGCATATTTCGTCAGTGGCATTCTACTAATAGTAGTAATTTTCGAAACGACAATTAATTGTTATGTGCATGACCTTTTTCACTTTGCAGGTGCCGATTTGAACTTTTTGCAGAGCTCAAAAGAAGATCCGCATGCAGTGGCCGCACTTTTGAAATCGTACTTTCGGGAGCGTATGTACAAAATTAACGTCAAGTTAATCCTGAAAATAACAACAAGAAGAAACTAACACTGGAAATTTCCGTACAGTGCCTGAATCATTATTGACCGAGGTTTTATTACCGGACTTCAATGAATGCGTTATTAAACATTGCAATCCAGCTGTCGTCGAAACACAACAGGTCTCCACCGCAGACTTTTCAAATTCCAATGATTTCCCGCGTGATTTGGCGAAAATTGTTTCTCGTCTACCTCCTTACAATTTCTATTTGCTTCGGGCTCTCTGCGAGCATCTTTCTCGTGTTGACAAAAAAAGTGAAATAAATAAGATGAACATAAGCAACCTGGGGCTTATTTTTTGCCCAAATCTGGGAATAGGGTCGAATCTTTTTAAAACCTTCATTGAAAATATTGATGTCGTCTTCGGCGACGGTTGTAAAAATGAAAGCACGCTATTGGAAAATGAAAAACGTGAGCAGGAGGTGAAAGAAAAACGAACGCCGCAGATATATCATAAAACCTATATCTCGGAAGATTTCTCTAAAAGCTTTGAGGACATACTAACTCTCAACAAAAAAACCACGGCAAATCCATCGAGCCATTCCTATCCCTCCTCTTCTTCCATAAAAGGGTACAACTTTAAGGACAACACGGATGCATCCATTGACGATCAGGATAGTACTTTGAGAAAGTATGTTTCAAACAACACTGCAGCAACACCGGCCACCTCAATGGTGTCCAATAAGACACCAGTATCTATTCATAAGAGTACATATCTTCAACAAGCCAATAATAGCACAATGAATAACCCATTTAGCGACGATGAATCCATCTCGACGCTTAAAAATGAGATTCGATCGGTGAACATCGTAACGCCGAAAAGTGCATCCTCCCCTCCGTTCCGTCTGAGGTCACGATCCACAGGTCTGCGTGACATACCTTTGACAAATACCATAGAGTTTCCTTTCGATTCTTCAGATAGCGAAGATAAAGATAATCTCGAGAACCACGAAGATGATTCAACTTCACCTACGCTTATGGCATTTGATTACGTTGATAGGCATGGTGCCAAGAATTTGGGCGTACTAAATCTAACAACAAGGATACCAAACAACTGGGGGTCACATGGTAATGGTGTTGGAGACAACGGAAACAGTGTTGCACCTTCGTGGGTGAGGAGAAGAAGGCGAAGACCGGGTTTGGAAAAAACGGAGGAGTGGAAGAAAGCACTTTTGGAAGATACGGATGTTGATACACCTCCGAATGTGCCTGAAGAAAATGAAATGAATCGCGAAAATGATATGAAAGGTATCAGCAATGCCAAGGCAATTATCAATAGGATGAATGGGATCGGAGATCCATCGCATGCTCGAGAAAAGACGAAATCATGCGTTCCAGTTGGAAATTTAATCGATCTTTGATCGCATTAGCATGTAAATATTTTTTTATGTACGGCGATTCTATTGAATGAGCAGATATTTTATTTTGTCGTATAAATTTTGTATTTTTGTTTATATAACACTTTTTGTACATTTCAAAGCTTTATTAATATTTCAATATCTCAGTTACATTGTCAAATATTTGATATATTTGATAGCATTTATTTCTTTTCTATAACATACACATATTAGTAGCATTTTTCATACACTGATATTAGCGCGTATCGTATTTCTTCCGGTTTATCCCTTCACGCCAATAAAATAAATTCAATACTAAATTTAAGAACAAGAACGTTTCGAAACGAGGAAACGCGCAATCGAAAATGAAAACTTAAGTACTTGAGTCGTATTACTCGTACCGATCACCACGCATGATCAAACCGTTCCAAAACACTAGTTGCATCCGTCACATCTTTTTGAGCTTTCTTTCTCATGTACCTAAAAAGAATTCAAGACGTTTATCAACAAACGCCTGCAGCGAGGCTTATATCGTAACCATAAACCATACCATATAGGGCAATCTCGAGAACTACAAAGAATATCCTGATGCAAACTGCCTTGACATCTTTGACATTGTGTCCAAAGTCGTGCGAAATGGGTTTCAAGCGAATTTACAACATCCAACTGAGAGATCGAAATGCAAAGAGTTTAGGAATTTACGTATGCAGACCGATCTTTAGAAAAAGAAATAAAAAAATAAAAAATCACGTCACCTGCTTTTGAAACAGCTCACAAAGTTTCGGTTTACAATGTTTACACACAGCCGCGTCTGTATTAATTTGTTCAACCAATGTTTAGGCGCGCGACGTAATCATAGTTAAATTCCATGAAAATTAATAGTCGAAATCATACCGCCTTTCGCCAGTGGGGTTTTGCAGCCCAAACAGGTAGGTGTTTTGACCGCAAATTTCATTAGACCTCCGACTGTAGGCGTTGTATTTTGAATGACACGGGTGTGTTCTCCGGCCACTAATGAAATACAATGACAGTTATTCCGTGAGATTCATCGGAATGCATTTAATTGTCATTCACTCACATAGAGAATTGGCTTTGTCCCCTAATATTGGCTCGAATATTCGCATCAACGGCTTAGAGAGTTGATTTTCCAGGTAATAATTAGTATCAATCGGGATATTATTTTCAAGTACGTATATCGGCTCTTCGGATTTTTCGTAAGCAGGCGCATCTGACAGCAAAAGAAAAACAGAAATTTCAGTTGCGATTTAGTTTTCCGAGGGATTCGATGCAAATGTTGATCAAATACTTTTTGTAGCTTTTACGATAACGTATGCCACACGATCACCGAGTGTAGGCGCAGAACCTTGATTAAAATAACGAATAAAAAATAAGCATAATAAAAATAGATGCTAGAACTATACAAAGTGCCACGACCAGTTGACCTACCAGGGTCGCGTTTACGCATGCGTTCGGCCAAACACGAATGTGGCTGTTTACTAGAATAATCTAAATAACTTGGTATGTTTGTAAGAGGTTTCCTCAATTGATTGAAATAAGAAGAACGAACGCATAAAGTTACCTGCTTTACTCAAACCCTTGGTTATGACCAGTTGTGACATGTCAACTTTGTTCTGAAGTAGGTCTGAAATGGTTTTTTTGGTATACCTATGGAAAATTGTTAACATAAAAATCCGACGGCATGTGCAAGAAAAAAAAAAAATCAAACAGTAAACTAACGTACTCTTCGGCTCCTACTACATCTCTATCGATTAATATCTTTCGCAAACATGTCTCAATTACGTTTTGCACGAGAAGACAACTATCTCGCCGAACAGTCTAAATTGATGTCATTTAAGTTTTTTTATTCAGAATTAGGATCACAGATAAGGAGACGTAATGCATACTTCGATCCCTTTGGTGTCTAATTTGTCCCATTTATTCGGATTTGTCCAATAAAGGCCGGCATAGCGTTTCTTGCTTATCAGCAAATATGGAAAATAAACCTTTTCGAATTCCAATTTGATTGGTTCAATGAATTTCCCAGTGACGAATTTAGATGCCTCTCGACCTAGTTGTTAAATGATTGGTCTTAACGGAAACCCAAATGTTTAAAAGAATTGAGGTAAAGCTACCTAATTCCATGGCTTCGTTCAATTCTTCTACACCAAATTTTATCATTACCGAATCGGTGTCACCATATATAACATGAGCATCATGCTTGTAACCGTTGATGATTGAAAAATGACTTTCGACCTCCTGATGTTGAATGTAATAAATCACAACCATAAGTCCTGAGAATGTTTCGTGCAAATAAATCCAACAATGGCGAACCTGCTTTGTTCGCTCAATCATTTGTCGTCCATAGGCAGTGACGCTTGCTGATATTTCAATGCAAGGCAATTTACCCGCAGTCGCTCCTGTAAACCCATAGACGGAGTTTGCGCTCATCTTTAATTTAGAAAGTGTAAAAATTCTAGAAAATAATAGTTTAAAATTGGTAAACTCAAGATAAATCAAACCTTCAAAGCTAATTGCCTTCCGTCTAAGACAGCCTTCTTAAACGGATCGGTTTCTTTTTTCAGATCGGCTTTCGCTCTTTTACGTGCGGCAAGCAAATCTTCCAGGATCGTTGGAAGCAAACCTTTCCGAAGGTGTGCTCTCACGAATCGAGCTAATATACCGAAATGACATGTGTAAATGATCCAGGCAAAAGATTATCTGTAAAGCTCCGAGTACCTGAAAGATACGGTGTAGTTATATAATCTTCTTCACACTTCAACTTTAAGTTCTCGATTTCTCTGTCATCAACCAAAGTTGTGTAGCAAAGATTATGAGCGATCATGATCGAAGGGTACAGGGAACTGAAATCCAGGGTCACTATTGGGGTATTGTAAAATCCCTTTTCGGGATCAATGACAGTTGCTCCTTCGAACTGGTCATCAGCTCCTAAACAATGAATTCGAGTAAATTAAAATTGCACAAATATAATAAAGAGAATATGTAAAACTTTTATGCCTTCGGATTTCAACGCCGGAATCACCAATCCTTGCTCAAATGCTTTTCTGTACAATTGTGATACGACCTTAATTTGCTGACCGCGTGATAGAAGATAATTGAAAGGAACTCCGGTCACGCGCGCCATTTCTAGGTAGTTGATAAAACTCATAAGTTTATCCATGAGCCTTTGTGGCAGGTAAGCATCCTAAAAGGAAGGAGGAATAATCTTAATATGACCGATGGAAATAAAAAAAAAAAACGAGACTTGGGAAAAAATAAAACCTTCAGGCAATAAATAGCTAGTCGACGGCGTGTTTCCTCGTTTCCTTTATGTAAATCCGTGATTATAGAGTGGTGCACTTCCTCCTTTTGCTCTCCTATTAGCAATATATATATGTTAGAAGACGATAAATTATGTCTAAAATTTCCAATTAATACAAACCTAAAAAATGTGCACTAACAAAGTTCAATGTATATGATCTCAACTTGTAATCGCGTTGAATTACGGACAAAATGTCAAATTGAACCCTCCCATCAATATGTAAATATCAGTCAAGGATCAGTAAAGATCAGATCATCAAAAGATCAAATTATAGAAAAATTCATATAAAAGGATATTCATCATTTTACTATCACGCGTTCCGAAAGCTTTCGAAGAAAACCTCGTGTCTTTCACTTCAATTTTAGTTGCTTGTTGATTTTAGGAAGTAATTGAATGAAGGTTAATGAACATTAATCAATTGAAGTTTGTTGACGCCCGCTGAACTCTTACATTTGATACGACTAAAGTAAGGAAATCCCTTGACTTTCAAGTGCTGAGCCTGTTCTAGTAAATACGGCAAATCAAAATTTGTAATGTTATAACCAATCATTACATCGGGATCCACCTATTCAACAAACAGATAAGCAGATAAACAAGAAACGTTCTAATATTGGCGTGACTAACAAAAAAAAAATCAAACAACCTCGATAACGAAGTCGCACCATGCTTGCAACAGATTTGCTTGATCATGATACTCTATGACGTCCGTCGCGATGATTGGCGCACATGAATCCAATGTGAAGACATTCCTTATGAAGGGCTTATTTTCTCCTAAACAATGCAAAATTATCTAAATCTTCTTTTTTTAATCATTGCAGTAATTTATAATTGTAATTTGCTAACCGTGAATTGTAACCATGTTCGCAATTTGGATTACTGGGTCGACCTTAGCTTCAGGAAATATCCCTTTACGTCCAGCACATTCGATATCAAAACTCAAAATACGCACAGGTGCAATTTTGGACCATTCACCTTCGGGCGCATGACTTATAAATTGATCAAAGCTGCATATAATTCGGGAAATTAATTTCAAACTTTGGAATTAAATAAAGTAATATAAAATCATAATACCGAGTAACAAGCTCTATTTGACAGTGTGAAACGTGTTCCGATTTTTCTTTAACACGATAGACATTCGGTGACAATTCAATCCAATTGCCCCCGGTAACCTTGACAAGGAAAACAGAATTATGTTAAATTGTGTGTATTGGTATTAAAAAAACTTAAATAAATAATCATCAACCTGACAATCAATCATAAACCGTAGCACATATGCTATATTGCTCTCAAAAGTCGTTGAACTCAGATATCTCTCTTTAAATTTAAAATTCCCTGTTTCGAAGATACGTGCACAGCAGTCAAGGGCTAACACGCGACACAACAGATTTACAGCGCCATCATTGTATCACTCAAAATAACAAGGATATGCCGTGCGTTAGACATCGCCTTCGTGTCTGCAAAATGTATCTTTAGAAAAGGACTCTTGTGATTTCCGTGGTAGCCTTGTATAGTTTCCTTAAGATTGATTTCAACTTTAACCACCATTTGCCTTCCTTGTGAATTGAATTCCTTTTGTAGAGCAAACTTTATATCGTGATGTTTCAAATTAGTACCTCCATGACAGTCCACAGAACAAAACTAAGGGTGCTTGTTCACCTCAAGAGCCGTCTGAAATTCCTTAACATCGTCATTCCTAAATCCAATTGGTGCAGGAACGTAAAAGTAAGGTAAGAATCCTTTGACATCACACATAACACTATTTCCTGCCTAGCAAAAAAAGTTTATCTTAGTTTGTCAATTATTTAGATCAAACAGAGATAAATGTATTACCTCTGTGATGCCAAACATGCGGATCATTGGTGATTTTGTCGGGGAAGTATAATCAACGCATTCGTCGACCTCAAACTGTTGAAATACTGTATAACATGTTAAAGACTAACTCAACTAGTGCATCATTCAATTATCACTTACTTATAGAATCGACGCCTGGATTTATACTGGGTGCACTTGGTCGAGCCCATTTCTGACGATGTTTTCCGGAAGCTTCGTGAAGACAATATAAAACGAGAAACTTGGTTACGATTAAAAATCAAGCTTGGGTGACTGTGAGTACATACCCTGCGAATGCTCTTGTAAAAGTGCCAACTGATCTTCAAATGTAGATCTCACGGCGGACACTGTAGCGTTTGTGCTTACACCAGATCTTTGTATTTTAGTGCCGTACACGTTAGTTTCACTAACCAGAGACATTATTTGTTTAAAGGATAACGATTTATTTCCTTTATGAAGGCGCAGCAATTGGTAAAGGTTGCAGGAGTGGGATAAGGCAGAAAACGCGTAAAACGATAGCCTAGAATTCATATTCATCAAGTCGCGTGAGTCAATAAATTGGTAACCTCATGTGACCGAAGCATATAATATGCACTGAGTCTGCGTCCAAAATGATCGGCGTATAGTATAGTGGATGCGGGTTGCGAACTTTAAAGTAATAATTATCGATTATCTTCTAACAAATTTGGCGTAATACGAGTTTTATTTATTTATTTATTTATTTTTTTAACCCTCTGTCAGGCTAGTTATGTGTGCTTTATTAAACAATTGTAAGCTATATATTATATATGTGTCACTTAAGCTAAATCTCTAACTCACTCACTCATTAAAGTCTTATATTTATCTAGGACTCTAAGTGCAACTTCAGGAGTGATTTATCATTCCATTAGTAGTTCGGATGGAAATCTTTCCAACTTTTAACATCATTGCCTGCAGGTCACTGCTGTGGATAATCAAACATCAGAAAATTTTCAGAAAAATCTTTGGAAATCTTCAAATAGCTTCGAAAATTATTATAATGGAAAAATTTTTATAATAAAAAATTCCGGAATTTTTTCATAATGAAAATTTTTAAAAATATTTGAAAATTTATAATTTATTAAAATAAATATTTATTTAATAAATATT